ATCAGGTCATTGTAGATGCAATTTGGAAAGACAAAGGTATGTCGACTTTGAGTTGGATCTTAAAGCCAAAGATCAGCATTCAGTAGTAAACTCTGTGCTTGATTTAGATGAACGATGGACAGCCCGACCCAATCGTGCTAACACACCTGGACCAAGTACGTGTTATGCTATCTTGATGTCCATATTTCTCACTATTTTGTCTCCCAGTCGAGACAAGAGATCACCAGCATGACTTTGCACATGGTCTCGATGTAGACTTCAGCCTAATCAGTGAGTCATGATCTTGCTATAGTTGTTATTATAGATAACACTATGGATTTTCAGACTCTCTTGAACCTGAACTCGTGGACGCTGCAGCACTCCCTACCTATTCGTGTGATGACATAAAGGTCGAACACCACCCAAATAGTGGTATCAAGATGAAAGTCCACCCATTCGATAGTTTTCATCGTCGTCCGGCAGCCTCTTCAGTTCATACCCCTCCTGATAACCAGCCTTGGTGTCCATTCCAATCCCAGCTTGAATTCAACATTGCTGAGCTCGCTCTCGAGGCTAGATTGAACAATGAACAAACAGACCGCCTCATAAGAATTTGCCTTCACAGTTCTGTTGGCAAGGATAAATTCACATTTAGGAACCATAAAGATATTCATAGCAAGTGGGAAGCGGCATCTCATTGGATCACCAAGGTGGTGTCATTTACCACTGTGAAATCAGAATATGACCTTGTTCAAAGTGCAGTTCATGAAAGAAGTGATCTCAGTGCCTCATGACAGCAAGATGTGTGACTTTGATGTATACTACAGGGATCTCTGGGAGCTACTGACCTGCTTCGGGACCCCTGCCTGTTCCCACACTTCACATTTGATGCACAGCGCTTATCAAAGTTTGATGGGCAAAATTTTGTCCACTTTGTAGATGAACCTTTCACTGCACAAGACTTTTGGGATGTGCAAGTATGTGTTGATTCAAATATTTAATCCTTTTTATATATGAAACATTGTGCATTTGTAGTCGCAACTACCACCAGATGCAAAGCCACTAGCTTTCATTTTGTATGCAGATAAAACAAGGCTATCGTCATTTGGCACTGTATATATTTACTATAGCCACATGCACAACTGGGGAGAAATCTTACAAGAATCCTTGCACCTATTCATTGAACTTTACCTGATGTGAGTGTCTCACTTGCTATCTCATTCCCAATGGGCAGGACTGAAGTCGAACAAGGTATGTATCATCTTGTGACTTTTCAAGCTGACTCGGATGAGTCCTGGCACTTGCACAAGTCGTTATTAGGTATACTGTTAGTGGCGAGGACTGCTTATTCCTTATCCAATATATTTCATACACAGTTCATCCATTCTTCGAGTGCTACACTCAGTCATATATGGATGCTTCTCTGGCAAATGTGAGACGGTCTACTATTTGCACATTCGCTAATTCCATATCCAACCACCTCGCAAGGCACTTGCATGCAGATTTATTCCGGCTGGCACTTCTTTTGGTGATGCTAAAGCACAGTAGTGTCAGATGATTCATGTGGTTAATCCAGGTAGCCAAAGGTAGCTGCCCAAACTCACCACATTCATTTTACATAAAAAGCCCTTACAGCATTCATCATCCTTCACACAGGCATATGCCCAATCGGTACATGCACTAACAGACATAGACGCTGTCAAAGTGACAATAACGACAAGGAAGGAGAGACACATTTTCTGTGCGAGATGATATGCAATATTTTTGGGAAGATATCTTTGAAATGGGGGAACACTGGGATGATGACCAGCTTTTATATCCTGTTACACTTATGGTGACGATCCTGACGGCCTGAACCATTTGGCAGAGTTGTTACTGTTGGATAGCGGAGGCAGGACTCCGCGTGTATTCAGAACGCTTCACTGGTCTGCGTGCAAAGACATCTGTCGTGTAGTCCCAATTAAGACGTCCGGCACTGGCAGTGGTACTACTAGTTACTAGCTTAGAGCTAAAAGTAGGCAGTCTGTCTCAAAAACTTAATTAAGGGAATCACAGCGAAAGGCCAAACTTCCAATAACCTTCGTCCGTTGACGAGTGTCGCCATCGTTGGTGTCATCTACCTTTGTCGTCATGCAGTATGTTATGCACCAGCTCATCGGGTCGTCGGGCATCAAATCATCATTTACAATAAGTATCTCAGTACTCACTCCCAGTGAAAATCGACAAGAATGAGGTAGATAGGTAGCGATACACGTCTAAGTACCAAATGATATAGATAGCAATCTAAATAATTCGAGATGGAAAATGCAAATTGTAAAATTAAATGCAAAGTCCAAACTTATGAGAAATTTGCAGTGTATTTGCTGCAAATGTTGCAAACAGCACTTTGCAAGTTGCAAAGCTATGCCTAGATTAACATTGCGATTGCGCATATACACTTCCTTGATCGCGATCACACAGCTACATGAATTCTATAACCTCCGAGAGCCTCGAGGCTGGCATACATCGACTTGCAAATGGTACTGATACTTACATATGTGATTGTGATGCCTGCCTTCAGAAGAACAAAGGCAAGCCCAAGCACGTACCCCGAACTACTTACTTCCGGCACAAACCCAACAGACTCGCTAGACTTTTCCCCCCACCACTTCCTGCACAAACTCCAGCTCCTATACCAGTGCCATCGTCTAGCAAGCATCCTCTGGATGCTTCTGATCACCCTGAACAGCCACCCATATCGAAGCACAAGGATGATCGGATTATTGCCATTGATGGCACAGAAGACGGTGTGTTCATAACCCTGAGATAAATATCAATTTGCTGATATGAATAATAAGATTTTGATATACCTGAGGCTGCTGACAATATCCCAGGCCCTGACGCACTCGATGGAACTTTTGATCACCTCGAGGACACCAATTTTGGTGATACGGGACCCGAGGACAGGAGGAGAGGAGGAAGAGGAAGCTCGTGTTGATACAGGACCCGAGGACAGGGAGGCGGAAGAGGGAGCTCGTGTTGAGGACAATATACCCGAGAACATCGATCAAGACATGCCCCCGGATGACGTCGATCTCGAGGGTGTGGACACTGACTTGGGAACCATGGGCTGGACGGATGAGGACTTGGATGAGCTACAGCAGATGGCATGCCTTGAAGATGCCCAGGATTCAATGTCATTCATTACTGCTCTCTGAAAAGCATCCCTAGACGACGCACACTCTAAACTACCTCCAGACGCACTAGACAGACTTCGAAACCCTCCCCGCGAACTCCCCAATATGTCAGATCCTGATCTTATCCTTTCATTAAAATATTACTTTGCAAATACAACAATCGCTGCTTACAATCTTATCCGCGAGGCCACGATCGAACGACACCCCAAAGATGATGTATACAGTCATTACCGGGTTAAGCAAGCTGTCTGTCCACTTAGTGGTGTCGTCCCGATCGTTAATGACATGTGTACCAACACATGTCTTGCATTCACAGGTCCGTACGCTGAGCTCGATCATTGCCCTCGATGTGGAGAAGATCAATGGGACGCCAAAAAAAGCTCACCTCACAAGAAGGTAGCTCGGAAAATGTTTGACACATTTCCTGTTGGACCGCAGCTCCAGGCCCTATGGCGCCATCCAGACCAGGCAAAGAAGATGTGATGGCCCCAGGAGTACACCAACAAGATCATTGACAAATTGAAGACAACCGACGGCATTCTGGAGGTATATGAAGATGTTCTTCATGGGAAGCAATATCTGGACGCGTGCCAATCTGGCAAAATTAAAGATGGTGATGCAGTTCTTATGTTCTCGATCAATGGTGCCCAGCTCTATGAATCCAAACAATCCGAATGTTGGATATATATTTGGGTAATCTTCAATCATGCGCCAGACGTCCGGTACAAGAAGAAGTACATACTCCCGGGTGGTATCATTCCTGGCCCCAAAAAACCCAAAAATCTAGATTCTTTCATTTTCCCTGGCCTACACCATCTTCGCGCAATTCAGACAGAAGGGCTTCCAATTTGGGATGGCGCAAAGAAGGCTCTATTTCAATCTAATCCCTTTCTCTTTGTTGCAACAGCTGACGGCCCCGGCATCATCAGGAAAACCCTCCCAAGGCAAATTAGGGAGAATTCACAAAAATTCGTAACATTAGCACAATCACAGCTGTTTATGAAGAAAGTAGCTAAAGATGATAATGTTAGACGAGTTTTTTTCTAACATAGTAAGAGTTTTTGAGCATTATCTGAACATTGAAAAAGTATATCTATCTATGTACGAGTTCAACCAGAAGGTGTCACAGTCCTCGAGTACTGTATCACTCGTCCACTCTCATTGGGCCATAACACTGAACCTCGGTATAAGATGAACACTGCGCTCAATGTCAGCAATCGACACAATACTAGCCATGGTGTCACCATCGCGCAGTGAACGCGAGACTTTATATAGTCTGCTATTGCGGTCTGGAGCTGGCGAAAATGGTGTGAACCACTCGACATATGCAAGGTGAGTAGGAAGACGGATTGTTGGTGGGAAGAGCAGTGGGATGGACTTGGGTGGTAAGGTGAAAATGACTCGAACTTGACCGACATGGAATTCTATGATCAGTACAAAGTAAGTATTACATAGTAACACTGGCTGACAGTTTACACACCTCGAAGATCCTTCGAATTGGCACCCAGCCTCACTAGAGCTGTATCGGATCGGTGAGCAACGACACGAGAGCCAAACTTGCGTTGTGGTTTTGCATGGACACTGTCCAAAGTAATGTGTGCATCGCCATGGCCGCGGGCATCAACCAAGCACCACTTGACCTTATGAAAGACAGGCAGTGATGGAACGGAAAATGGATGTCGTGTGCCAGTACATCGAGTGCGTGACCATGAAGTGGTGTGGGATCATTTCCTCGACTCTGCTGAGCAATATAGCGTGCAAGGGCATCTCGAAAATGAGTAGCACCATAATCTGTAGCCAGCATTTCGAGGCTGACGGACTTTGCGCTGGGGTGTTTCACCATGACTTGTTTACGACTGAATGTCATATCTGGTGGGCGTGAATGGTAAGGATCCAACTCGTGGCTACCAGCAAGTCGCCAACTAACATATTTTTGATGTCTTAATACTTTCTCCTTTCATTCAAGCCAGCGGGTCATTTGGGCAAACTCATCCTTGTGATTCATAGCGCGGTAGGCATCTTTCGCCAAGTCGATATGGAGCCGTTCTGTGTACTCTGTGTTATAATTGTCAGTTGAGCCGAACTGCATGATCATCCGAGGATAGTGACGAGCAGCATGCAACTTCGGTAGATTAAAATTGGTTCGAATCCCAAGATCGATGAAAATGAGCTTGTTCTCATGAAAAAGGTCTAGCGCCTCGTCCAGTAACTGAAGGGTCTCGGTACTATGGCAAGGGTATTGCGCGAGGTACACGAAGTCAAGTAGCCCCCATACAGCTCGTAGAAGGCGACCTGCATTGAGATTGTTGGGCAGACGAATGTCAATTATGATGCCGAGGAGGAAGCGGCATATCTGCGCATGTTTGGTGCCGCTTACACGCGATAAGGTGGTGATACCTTTGGTGAATAATCGAATGTGATGGTTGGGAGGAAGCCGTTGACAATGAGCATCGATTTCCGTGGCTCCACAAGCGGCCTCTAACCATGCCAAAAGGTGTTTCACCAAGCCCTGATATAGCTGATGCAACACATCAGGTGTGACACTCTGAAAGATGTTCGCGAACGGGAGTTTCTCCCAGAAAGGATGTATCACAGGTTTGATTCCTACCACGGCACATGCGCGAACAAAGGCAAGATTTCCTTGATCGAGTGCCGCGAGTGCATCCAGCACCTCACCTATTTTTCGTAGGTGAAGTTGTACTGTATTGCTTTCTGTGTCGTCCTTCTCAACATCACATGTCGGGCAGTCGCTGAACTTGATTCCTGTTGCAGAGAAGTTGCTCTGGATAATCACCAACAAAACTCGCAAATAAAGGGTGGCAGCGGCGAAGAGCACCATCTCCAGTGCGCATATTGATGCCCTCTAATCCAGCATGTTGCAAAGGAGCAAGCACATGACTCAGGCAAGCAGTGATATAGGTTGGCGATAGACCGACGGCAGTGAAGCCTTGTTGGTGATGTGTTCGAGACGAAGTAGTTGGTAGATAGGCCAGAAGAATGTGAGCACCGCGCTGAAGGTTTGCGACGAATTTCCTTCGGGATATTACCAATGGTGAGATACACTGGGTATGCGGACTTGTTGCGAAACATAGTGACTTGCATTTTGTCCGTTGAGATGATAATCGGAATGATGGTCCCACCCGGACAATGCTGATCAAGTTTTTTCTGAGGCATTGTAAGTTATGAAGTCCAATTGATGTCACATTAAGAGTTCTTACCTGCGTGTTCCACCACCACTTTCCAGTATGCATGTCATGAAACAGACGAACAGTCTGATCTTCGTCAGTGTAATGGTGCTCCGGCGCGAACGTAAGGTATCTTGCGAAGTCGGGATCGCCATACAGTGACTTGATGCATTCAATGATGTCGCGGTAATACACATCAAATGATTCTCCTGCAACAACGACCTGCTCCTGTTGGAACTTGGGGCGTCCAGTTGGAAGTTCGTGGTCGATAATCTTGTTCAGTTCATTGGTGTTCTTGAATGACAACCCTAAATGTTCACTAACCTAGTAATATTAGCTATTAATGAGTAGTACTCGTGAAGCGAAAGAAACTTACTCCATCAATGGAGAGCAGGTCCGTAAATGCTGTAGACGTTGCTCCGCGAACTTTCGCCCATCTCGCAACCTCCCATTCGATTTGGGAATTAAAAGGATGGTATGGATTATCATCATTGGCAAGATGTGCCCCATATGCCATGTTGGCGCCATGGTCAACGGAACCATGCAACATACTTCGGCCAGCACGTGGATCAGGATAAGGCACCCTAACAAAACCAGACCGGCCTTGTACGCGAGCCTCAATGTCTTGACAAGCATCCTGATGAATATCCTCCAACTCGTCATCTGCGAAGGCAAACACATCATCCTCCGGGTCGTAGTCTTCATCAGCCTGAGGTTGCAATGGTGCAGCCTCCCATTCAGGTTCGAAGAGTAGATGGTCATCAAGATCATCCTCATCAAAATCACTATCACCTGCATGCTCACTCGCAGCACTGGCAGGCCTCTCTAACTCATCCTCATTGCCAATTCCGGTGTAGTCTCCCTCATCCATGGCAAGCTCGGCTTCGTTGTTTGTTCTTGATCGTGACTGGCTGTAGAGTGTGCGACAATGTGGGTCGCGACTCTTTGCGATATGCTGGCTGAGACCAGTCACAGTGAGATCATCACGGCCACAAGCTGAATACATGCGATAACCTGGATCATTCATACTTATGAAGCTGAAGTGATACGAGTGGGGGATGAATATGAATATGACGAGCGGCTACTAAAGACTGACCAAGGGTACCGATACGAGTGGGGGATTTGGCCAGGAGGGATGACGAAGCTGAAACAAGGGTGTGGTAAGTAATGGCCCGAACAAATACTAAGTTCAAGGACTAACCCACCTTATTAAAGTTACGGTATATGCAAATATGAATATGACGAGTAGCTACTAAAAACTGACCGACGGTGCAGGATGATAGCCCATTCGCGAATGAGGAACACTCTACTCTGGGTATTCCGAAATGGGGAAGGGTGGGTAGGTATTATGGGACCATGTACAGCAGCCATAGCAAGCAGAATGGGCTGGATGATGGTGTCGCGAAGAGATGGTCCAATTTGCCGTCATTGGTGGCCGGATCAACCTAGCAGATATTAGCACTGCCTGGTAGTCAGTGCCCGATCAACCATATGAATATGACGAGCGGCTACTAAAAACTGACCAACAGTGCAGGATGATAGCCCATTTGTGAATGAGGAACACTCTGGGTATTCTGAAATGGGGAAGGGTGGGTAGGTATTATGGCCCGGGGACCATGTACAGCAGCCATAGCGAGCAGAACGGGCTGTATGATGGTGTCGCGAAGAGATGGTCCAATTTGCCGTCATTGGTGGCCGGATCAACCTAGCAGATATTAGCACTGCAGCCAGCAAAGTGAGGGAAAACATACTAAGTCAGTTTAGCACCCTTCACTGCTGCTACATAATTGCCCTGTTACATTGTGTTAGTAAAATTTTCAGTCCCATTCCCTTCCGTTTGACTGTCACTCACACTCGTTTAAAAAAAAATCTGCACAGGTCCCTCAACACTCCTTTATTCTTTTGAGTCTCAAAAACAAAGAAATAATAATAAATGACTTTACCTCGGCAGGATCAAGGTAAGTGAGTATAAGCAACTCAGCAAGTGACTGACTGTGAGGCTTGACAGAAGCGCGTGGTGCCAAGAAAAAAGCTATCAAAAACGCAGGTGAGCGACCAAAAACACCATCAATAAATCAAACTGACCTGAGATTCAGTTTGGAAGCAAGACAAACCAAGACGCAAGAATGCAACAGTAACATCAGGCCAAGACCGTCCTGCCCCCAAAAAGAGAACTGGCACGTCACTGGTGCCTACTCCAAGTCGGAACTCCAGCTCCACTGGCAAGTCAAACAGGACTGTGGCATCAAGAAAGCTGTCAACACTGAGTCCATTGATACACTTAAAACTCGGTTATGGTACTTACATTGGGCACTGGCAGAGCATCATCACGACATGGTGGATAGCGACTCGGATGATGACTTGCTGGAAGCTCCACTGATGGTTGAAGGTCAGCCTAGGTCGCCGTGACAAATAAGGAAGTTCGAGTCTCACATAATCATCGTGTGCAGCGCAGTATCGACGACCAGCAAAACTCTGCCAAACTTATGCTATGCAAGATGTGGCATTGCCTAAAGATGAAGATGAGCAGAGTGCTGACTCTGATGCGAGTCGGTCCAGGGACAAACCGAGTCAGGGATAGCTTACTAACTGATTCAGACGGTAATGAGAGCAGTGCCACTGATGGTGAGGATGAAGATTTGGCTGCGATGAGGCTTTCAGATGAGGTCAGCTTTGCTATATCATATGCTTGTGAGCTCACGTTTGAAACTTTGAAGGTCGTGTCGGTCGTCACCAACAAGCAGCAGGTAGCATCAAAATCATGTGGCACTTCAAAAGCCAAGTTGGCCCAAGATCATCACAAACAAGCGGTAGAGACTCCTACCTGGGCCAATATGGATGTCGAATGTGCAGTTTCAGAGTCCATTAAAGATTGCTCGACTGGTGGTGACTCATCAGAATTTCAACTTTCTGACAATGAAGGCACTGCACCGACTCGGAAACTTACTTCTGACGCGAAGACTCAGAGTATCGCCTTGCTCATTAAAACAGAAAGTGGAAAGGTGAAATTACTTGATCAGAACTTAGAGACTCATAGAGTTCTTCAGTCCACAATTGTGGAAGTCAAGTGCCACCTTTATTTCGCCAACGGCTATCCTGAACTGGTCGACAAGAACCAAGTCGCACTGCAAGCATTGATAGTAGTCGCCAAAAAATGTGGTGTGCATTCAATCAAAGAATGTCTTCAATCGGACGAACGGTATGCGTCACAACTTGGTAGCTTGGTGAGTTCAACTCGCACCTTTTCATATCAGTCTCTAACCATATGTGAGGTGGATGCTCGTGTTCCAATATTGCGCTGTGAGCTGAAGGAAGACGCATGTGCGCATGCCGATGGTTACTTTTGCCTTGGACACACCGATACTGGGAAAGCTGCAGCGAGAAGGCTATTGGATAAGTTTGCATATATATACGCCTTGAAGTTTGATGTGAGATCTCTCCCCTTGCCTGTACTACTGACATTGTTGAAATTATACAGATCAATAACGAGGCTTCGCCCATTGGAAAGAAGCCCTACCAGGGTGAACTCTTAATTTTCCTAATATATCGGCAGCTCTTTCATAGCTCGAAATCCATTGCCATCAAATTTGCGGAACGCTTCGTCGAAATTGCCAACAACAAAGGCCAGCACCCCGAAGTCCCTATCCCTTTGCTGGCATTGGTTGCAACTGCAGTAATGTGCTTGTCGTCATTGTACGGATGTGCTGTTTAACTCGTTGCAAAGGTGTACACAGCCCTTCTGTGGAAGTCGCAAGGTTCATCATCAAAATTCAACTTTACAGGAAATTTATTCAGCGAGACATACAACTACCATGTCAGGTTCCTGGAAAAACTGAAGAAGGACGCACCTGCAAAATTCCACTGTATGATGGCCGACATCTATGAGGCTGCACAGTGAGTTCCACTTAGGTAGTATTGCCTCGATGCTCACTTTGCTTGCAGGAAGTTGCGATACAGCGGCGCCACTACCGGTGGCCATGCTGCTGAGCTCGAAGCATTCGAGTTACTTGACCTTGACAATATGGAAGAAGACTGAATCATCCCCCGCTCGTTTTCATAGTGTACAATACGGAATCATGAAGCTGATACATAGTCTCCCAGTTGGTCATAGCGCGCACTGTTATTTAAATTAACCTACTGCCCATATACCCATTTTTAATCAAATTTAATTTTGTTCTTGTATCTTATTCTGTCTGATTTGGTTGGAACCCTCGTCTAAGATCAAAAAATCAATTCTAAAAGTCATGCTAATGTGTTTGAATTAGTGAAAATAGTTGCTAATTCTTGTGTTTTTATTAGGGGGTAAAAAAACCGACTTAAGCTAGCTAAAACTTGAATTTGTAAAATTTAGATATAATAACGCAGGATTAGTTCTAATGTTACATCTTTAAGTAAATTTGTCTGGGGAGGGTTTTCCTGATGATGGCATTTCTTACTGGCCTTGTGGGTCACCATGGCAGATTTGCATGTCGTCTCTATTGCGGACTCCCAGGGAGACACAAACCAGGTGCACCTACGTACTATCCTGCCCTACGTCAACCTGAAGGTACTAATCAACCTGATCACCCCGACTTCTTCATTGATCGGCTTCCCCTTCCCGGATCATTTGATTATGAACAGAACCTCAAGCATGTGATCTGCTGTTCCAACATGGCCGAATACGAGCTTGCACGCCTCGAGACAGGCATTACAAAACCAAGCATCTTCTGTGGCTTCGACACTGACCGTATTTTGCTGGTGCCACTGTGCTTTGGCTCTGACATCATGCACATCGCTGCCATCAATACCGGCGATCTCCTTCTACCCCTCTGGAGAGGAACCTTTAGAGCCGAGACTACGGATGATAAATCCACATGGGCCTGGGCTGTTCTGACGAAGGCGACTTGGAAGGCACATGGATCTCTGATCACAGATGCAACACCCTTTCTGCCAGGTTCATTTGATCGACCTCCTCGTAATCCTGCAGAGAAGATCAATAGTGGGTATAAGGCCTACCTACCTGCAAGACCAAGCTGGTCAGCCGGTGTCTGCACAACGGGCAAAAACCATCCGTCCTTTCATGCTGTCATGTTTTTGACAACTCGAATCTCAAGGTCTCGCGCCCGAATCCATTGGCCAAGCATCACTCAAAGTCCTACACTGGCTTATTCACATGCTACGCAAACATTACATTGAACTCCGTCTATGCACTGACAATTGGAAAGCTATGAAATTAATGATCGTCAACTATTCCCAATGGTACAACTACCACGTTGTGAAGAAACAAACTAGCGGTCATGTCAAGTCCGAAGACATAGAGACTGCCGACAATGACAACAACAACAACAAGTCCCTACTGGCTTCAACACCTGCTGCTACCCCTCCTTCTTCCTCACCATCTGCGACACCTGCTGTTACCCCCCCTTCCTCATCTTCTTCAATGCCTGCGGTTACCTCTCCTTCCTCATCTTCAGCTTCTCAGAAACGAGTTAACATTGATATTGACCCTGTCGCAGAACCAGCATTGAAAAGACAACGAGTTGAAGTGGAAGAACGTGAACCAACCCCACCTCCCCGTACCGACAAAGGAAAAGAGAAGGAAGTGATTACTGTGGAGGTCAACAATCCTCTGTAAGTGATCGCTCTATTGATAATTCCATTCTACTGATACTATTAATTTAGTTCTAATCTTGTCTTCAAACCTCGCCCCAAGCCAATCCCAAAGAAAGCTCCTGCCTCCATCGACTCTGCCACTTCTGGAACCACTAGCGCCGAGCCGACTATCATCACCCCTCCATCCAACGACCCATCGGATACCAATGCAGCTTCCCTCGCTGTCAAGATGGAACTCCTGGTAGCAACCCCCACGGAGCCCACTCCCAGTGCAATCAACTCGAAGGCCCAACCTGCAAAGAAGCGTCAGCCGAGCACAAAGCCCATGCGTGTGAGCTCGAAGATCACGGCACGGTAAGATTTATCTATTACGGTCACAGCAAGTAAGGCTAACACTATTATTATTATAGGAATCTTTGTGCCCTCGAATGGCAATCGAACAGCCATCAGAAAGAACCGGCAAGTGTCTTTGCAACCTACTGGAACGGTCTATCGAAGACTGACAAAGAGGTATGTTGTTTTTGTATTGATGTCATTTATCTACTGACTAGCACTATTATTGGAGGTATACAAGCACAAAGCGGCTCTACAGGTGCGTGGTATTCATGATATCCGCGAGTATCTTCATACTAACAATGATTTGCCTTATAGCTCGGCTCGGCTGGACCAACCAAAAGGAACGGCGCCGGCGATGATACAGACGAGGAGTAGCGGATGGATACGAGGCGGGATGGCGGGCGCGGGCGCAGCGATACCACTACCTAACCATAGCGATACCTATAGATACATCATTCAATGGCATTAGATACCTATTCATGCCATCTAATTGGAACATTTTCAGCACATGTTTGCATCTAAAACCCATCTAAAGCCAACTAAAATTGTATCGAAGCATTAAAAGTTCGTTTCGGTCTCTATCGTTTTTCGTCTCGAAAAGTCCCACTTTTCTAAAGAGGTCGAAACATAACGAAAAATTTCATTTCCTCATACTATCACCTGATTCGGAATGCACAATCGATGGATAATGCACAATGCACTCCAGAGCTCACCACTCTACATATATTTCATTCGGAACAGCTGGTGGACAATTATTAGCATACATTCAATAATACTACCAATTCAAAATTTTAAAATCGGTGCTGTGAAGCCTTCCCGAGATGAAACATTGTGCGAGTGTGCCCAAAATGAGTGATTTTTGGACACTAAATCCAAGATCCACCCAGATCCCATTAACCTATCAACACAGAAAGTTCAAAATATGTGAAATGCACCATCCTGAATCTACTCCAGGTGTTTCTATGTCAATAGGACACCACCACAGCATGCTATTCGCGATTCATGAGCAAAGCGTGACGGTCAGGCTAGATTGGGAAATCACACTCTCGGCTTGGTTGAGTCTCCGCTTTCTTTGCATTCGGCAGAATCGGCACATACCAGCATCTGTTCCTTTGAAGACACCAGAGGACATTGTTACATTACAAGGACAGTCGACCAATGCCAAGGACAGCTCGAGTTTTTCGCAACCGCCCTTCACCACATTCACAACCTCCTCTCACACGCGAGGATCGTGAAAAACGTATCAAGGATGCAATCGATACATGGCGTGGGGGTGAAACTAAAAGCCTCCTACAAGCAGCCAAGATGCATGGTGTCGAGCACATATATTCCACAGTGCGTAGGAGATGTGAAGGGTTGACTCTGCCACGAGACGAGGCGCATGCAAAACAACGGCACCTTACACCAGCCCAAGAGGAGGTTCTCATTGATTGGATGAAGTTCTTGGGTGCAACTGGACGTCCTATTTCAAAGGAGACTGTGCGCCCCTATGTCTATGACATGCCAGCCCCAGAAGGGGCTCGTCCTCTTCGAACTTCACAAGACCTCCCACCACAGCTACATGCTGGGCCGTCCACTGGCAGATACATGCCTTACCCCCTGCATGGCCTTCCTGCACCATTAAATAGAGTTTCAGCAAATAATGATCACTCAGCACATCCTAGTGTTTATTACTAGATATTATTCCCTCAATGAAATTTGATTTGGAGCTCGTTATTGAAGCTTGAAGTTATGAACGGTGCGGAACACTGGACTTTCATTCGCTTTGCACGCTGTCGGACTGTGAATATCATTGTGTATTGGCCGAGGTGCCGCGCGTGACATAGTGTGACGAAATTGTGCATTTCTATTGTGTTTTCGACACCTCAACTTCCAGTGCTGCCGCTGCAACAAGCTCGCAACAAAATTAAAAAATTCTTGTTGGGCCTAATGCACAGAGACCTAAAGTATACACTACAGTAGATCCGATACGAATATGTGTTGTTGTTGTGTTGCTATTCAGCAATAAGTGTAAATTGTGCATTTCCCGTCGAATGATAGTATTTTTTTCGATCTATATCTACATGTATCTACGTCATTCTTGTCGATTTTCACTGGGACTCACTGACCACCGACTCCACAAGTAGTCACTATTTCTCACATTGTCCTCACTTCACTGCTTCACCTCTCAAAGCCAGAGACAAGCAAGCCTCGTCAGTTGCAATTCTATTCGCGCCCCCGTCCGGCCATTCCCCATTCACGACAAGCACTTCCAACTCTTCATCCAAGCTTCGGGCGGAACCAAGTCCTACCGGTACCAGACTCCACTCGCGCCCTTCTAGAAATATCGCAAGAGACTTTGACGCACCCATTCGATATGCGTTTGCCTATGGATCTGGCATTTTTGAGCAAGCTGGATATGAGAAGCAGAAGGACAAGGAAGATAGGCCGATGCTGGACTTCATACATCCTGATCATTGGCGCTCAATCAACATGCAACAGCATACCTGTCATTATCCCCTGCATGCACGCGTGCTAGGCTCGTCGTTTGTCTCCAAAACGCAAGAGCTCAGCCCTGGACTTTGGTTCAATACTTTTGTGCCGATGAAGGGGGTCGTGCGTCACTTTTGTTCATACCATTCTGCTATTCGCTTACTTTTACTGACATGGAATATCAAGTTTGGAGTAACAACCGTCGACACGCTATGCGCTGACCTACTTAACTGGCGCACGCTTTATCTCGCGGGGAGAATGCACAAGCCTCTACGTATCATCAAAGACGATGCACGCGTACGACTAACTCAGCAAGTCAATCTCACCTCTGCGCTTCGCACCGCCCTTCTCATGCTCCCGGAATCCTTTACCCAACGCGAGCTATTCAAAACTATAGCAGGAATAAGTTACTCTGGTGACCCTCGGATGGTGCTCCCAGCTGAGAATCGAGAAAAGGTGGAAAATATGGTTTCTCGTCAGGAGGTCCAGTTGTATTGAAGGCTTGCGCAGGGCCTTCCGCTTCCAAGAACGTGGAACAGGATACCAGTCCGCATGGGAGGGCAGCGTATCTTAAGAAGAGCTCCTCAAGCACGTTCATTAGCGTGCCGAGGGGCGTGGTCCGCCTAGAGAGGCGGATGACAGCGCTTATTGGCTCCGTATCGCAGGCGACAAGGAGCTTCCCTTGATTCTTAACTCTGGTATGTTCTTCCGTCTGTATCTTGAGATCTTCATGTTCATGTTCCTTACCAGAGATAATTAGGACCGTGCGGTACCCAGCAACTGTCCAGTCACGGAAGGGCATAGCAAGCGCTGGTGTGGCTAAGAGTACACGCTACTCTGTAGCCAAGGTCAGCAAGTGGTGGAAAGGAGCTCTATTTTGAGTTCGTCATACTGCTTTTAAAACTTTCGGATGATCGCTGTTGGCTTTGTGATTGCATTCTCACTGAATAATGAGGCCTGATGTCCCATGCAATGGTGTCTTCTGTCCAGGATTTGTGGAACGTATCTTATATATCTTCCAGGTTCTACAGCAAACTCATCGGCTTCACTTCGACGGCCTGGAACTCGATAGTTCAATGGGTGATACTGATCAGCGATGGGGATGGGCAGCCTGGCTTGTGGTGTCGTGATAGAATGGTGCAGAATCAGACTCCAGATACTTGCTGTATCAACGCCCGGGGATATTGATCATAGCAATATTGCACAGTGACCCTTACATCTCTGTCATTTAGTAATTACTTCTCACTATTGGTGGGGGGTACGCTTGCTATGCGCTATGCACGGCGTATAAATTCGAGATGTGCATGCACCCGCTCATATTGGTCCACATAACAAATCAATGGACGTCGAACGGCCGCCCCACTGCCTCAAAATTAGAACCGGACCGAGGGGTACTTGATTCGATTGGTAACACGGCCACTGACATGCGGTTTCAGCAAGGCGCCTGCAACCACAGCATGCAAAACTGGCTCGTATAGCAGTTCTCTTCGTCTTCACCCTGTATCTCTCCTTTCCCTCGATTATCGACTTTGTGCAGTATTTCACTGTCCGGTCCGTCTGCACAACCTAGCATCCTTTATTTATCAAGGTCATGCCACACGAAGAGGCCGAGTCAAGCACATCGACGAGATGGGGAGAAGGGCTACTGCACTCGCCGATATATCAAACGAGTGCGAAGGATCCACCACCATATGATGCACAGCACCGGCAGGATGCACTTTGGAAAGGTGAGCAGCTCCCTCATGATACCCACTAGCTTACTCAATTGGAAGCAGGCGGGAATGAAGCGCTTCCTCCTAATTGGCATCAGTATAAGACGTCGTCGGATGCTGAAACACGATATCAAGATCATACGCTCGTAATGTCCTCGTGGAACCGACCTTTACCAGGAGTGCGACTAGGTGAGCGACGAAATCACGACAAGGAACGACGAACTCACGGTTGACCATAGATGATCCTGGAGATCTTGTTGATCCGAGATACGAATGGTACATTTCACCACTGGGTCGGTCCTACTTTGTCAATCATAAGAATCGGACTACGTCGTGGAAGAAACCCAAGCCAGAACGTCCGGCAGGAAGCTTGATACCTGAGTGCGTCATCGAGGGTCACACTGAACGCATATGGGACCTTGCCTACTTGGATACCAGTGGCAATATAATGAGCGTATCTGATGATGGTTCGATTCGTCAGTGGGAAAGAGACGGAGAGCCAGTAGGAAAACCTTTGAATAGTGATGAGGGAGTGATAGTCACAATGGCAGTCTCCCCGGATGAGACAATGGTCGTTTGTGGAAGTGCAGACGGCTTACTGCGGTTGTGGAATATAAAGGAGGGCAGCATGATCGGAGATCCGTGGGAGGGGCATGATGCTCCAGTGAGGTGCCTTGATTGGTCTCCCAATGCCCTGGAGATAGCAAGTGGATCGCAGGATGGCACCATACGACGCTGGAACCCGGATACTGGTCGACAAACAGCACCACCAATAGAGGCCAGTGGATGGGTCCAAACTGTCAAATATGCTCCACAAGGCGACAAATTCGCGAGTGGCAGTGTGGATATGGTAATCTGCGTGTGGTCAAAGGACGGCAAACTGCTCATCAAGATCGATGACTGGTGGGTGACGTCATTGTGTTGGTCCAAGGACGGCGCACATATATTCTCTGGGTCAATCAATCGTACCATCCGAAAATGGCGGGCGATTGATGGACAGGAACTCGTTGTTTTTCGGGGTCACACCAACTACGTCAGCTCGCTCTGTCTTACTCCTGATGAACGCTATATTGTTAGCGCATCAGAAGACTGCTCCATTCGTATCTGGGATCTCAAGACCAATCAGCCAGTAGGAGATTCACCCTTGCATGATGACAGAGTCTTTGCTGTTGCCATGTCCCCCGATGGAAAATACATTGCCAGCTCTGGACCAGACACAAATATATATATATGGAGCTTGGAGGCGGCACTCAAAGTTATGGTATGTATGTGCTTTGTTGCTTTATTTCCCTGCTGAACAGTTTTGACGATTTAGGGTGCGGATAGAAAGTTCAAGGCAAGTCATCTCTGCTGCTCTTTCACACCACGTCTCACTTTATACCAGGGACATCCAGCCCAACCGAGAGTTGTGCGGCAACCAATCGTGAGGAACTTGTATTCTCTCATGTCTCGCTAGATTCTTAATGTCCATTCTGCATCTCACACAACAGGGCAATCCCAGAGGCTCGGCAAAATATGTCAGTAGAATTTTTCGTTCTTTAGCTCTTACTAATTTGACTTTGATACAGGGCAATGATTTCTTCGGCAACGACTCAAGTCGTGCAGCTCCGTCTCCGAGTCCATCGTTCCTTCATTGGCGCAGATTGCTTGGTTCCCTCCGGTCCAGTGCCCAACCTAGAGATACGCTCCCACCATCCCCTCGCAAATCCCGATATTGGAATTTCAGCTTACGTCCTCTAAAAAAGTCAAGCAGCATCGTCAATGTACCTCTGGCTCAAGATGAAGATGTGAGTGGCTTGCCTTTGCTCTCCCTTGATCCCATTGAAACACAACGCAGAGATATGCCATTGTCCCTGAAACCGATGCGGAAGCGGCCGCAGCCATGCAACGCACAAATGGCAACGAGGCCGACAATTCAATGCAATCAGGTCAGCCAGCAGGGGCACAAGCGTCTCAAGTGCAACCAATACAAACACATGCACAAGGCACAACTGATGGAGCGGCGGACGTTGTGTGTGGAGTGAACTGCTGCGGATTTTTCATTGGTTTTGGTCGTCGTCGTCCTGCTTCGCACCACTCATGATGGATGGAGGACATGTGGACTGCACACACTCAATTTAACTTCCTTCCTCCCCACCTGTGTCTGACTCTCCTCGCAATCGATATTTGCGTCACCCATGCGCTCGGATCAATCTCTCTTTGGGATTAAGAGGACGTTTGTAGGTGTTTTCAATCAATCTGATTTGCAAAACAGATGTGGCTGGTCGATGAACTTTGCATTCATGAGGTATATCTCATTGTCGACGAAACTTCCATCAAACTTTCCGGTTCGACTCTGCACTCAGGTTTCGTCCGATGCAGATCAGAGGGGCTCGTGAGATGATCGTCAACCTGATCTATGGACTCATTCCCACTTTGCGACGTCAACCTGCTGATATGTTTGCAAATTTCGAGCAATTATCAACCTATCTATAGGTTCTCGTCCGCTGTCTCGCTGTCAGTTGTATATGACTACCGGACCAGCACTCGTGATGATCCTCTGGTTCAAATCATGGAAAATGCACTGACTGTTGGCCTTGACATGATGACCTCTGAGAGAGAAGCTCTGCTCAAGGCCTTACCCTTTTGTAAGCTTAGCATCCTTTCTCACGGAAAGAGTCAACATTTTGTATCGTCGCACAGTACTGAAGTTACCTGACTGGTGTTGGGGATCCTCAATGCTCGACCTTCGGCCAATCGCATGAGAGAAATGACCGATGTGCCGTTTCGGTATACACAGCAGCATATGGTGGGCCCTGTCTCTGTTGGTTTGGTCCCAGGTACTGACTCTATGCTTGCAAAGGCCGACAGCTCGTCACTTGACCAATTGTCAATGATAGCAGAAAATTTGCGACGGATGAAGGAGAAAGATGAGGCGTGATCCAAACTAATGTTCGAGACTGATGTGAAGGCAACTGCTACTAGCTCGGCCTACTACTGCTATGATAGGTTTGTCACTTTTTACGAGGGACGCTATGCTCTTGACAATTGCATGTTATGCAGGTGGATGAGTCAGTCAGCTTATATCCCAACCATACTGTGTGCGCTCAGCCTCTTTACAGACGGTTTCAACCCTGATGGCTTTGTTCTCGCCATGGTGTCTTACCCAGATTTTCCGCGACGCGCACAAGCGGAAATCGACTCAGTGATTGGACAAGATCGCGTACCTACATTTGAAAACAGTGCATCACTACAATACGTTGAATCAATTCTGCGGGAGACTATGAGATGGCAGCCTATTGCACCCCTTGGTAGTTTTCCTCGCTGAGCAATCTCGCCTTCACTTAAGATGATCCTATAGGTATACCACATGCTACCACGCGTAATGATATATATTCATTCCAAAAGGTTTTTTGTTCTCATCCAGTGAACCAATCATTTGTAGTTTTGTACTCCAGGAACAGCTGTCATATTCAATATATGGTCAGATACCAAGATTCTCCCCATCTTTCAGGATACTAATGTTACATTACAGGGATATTTCACAGGATGAAAGGCTGTACCCTGACGCATCTCGTTTCATACCAGAGAGGTTCTTGGACGCTAACGAGGCATTGACCAATGATAACCCTGCGGAATACACTGGCCGGCGTGTATGCCCAGGTTGGTTGGGTTATCCTACTCTCGTATGATGTGTGTGTTGAGTTACTCTTTCACTAGGCCGGTACACTGGTGATACCACTCTGGTCTGCTATTGCGACCATGTTGGCCACGGTCGAATTTTCTTTTGCTAAGGATGACCAGGGGGAAATGATCAACTTCACCCCACAATTTACGACGGAATTGACTCGGTGTTTTGTTTCCCTGTGCCATTCTATCCTCTTGTCATTAACAGTCTTATCATTTTTGCTTCGTTATGGTCTTTCCTTGTAATATTTCACCATGCTCTCATTATCCGTTCAGAATTTGTGGATCTTCTCGGAACTGGATTGTAGTAAAATTGTCTTTCAGAGATAGATTTCAGCAATGGCCGCCATGGACTTGAAGTACTTCTTCTAGAGTTTTGTATGGCGATCCATCACCCATGACATGGTGCCGTTGACATGCGTATCTAATTCGTGCAATTATCAATATACTGTGACTGGCATCCCCACGCGCTTGCTCTTATGCAAAATTGATGAGTGTCATCTGAGATATGTCCGTAGAGAGACTGACGTTAGTGAGAATGATCGTGTCAATGGATGCCACCACCACATCCTCAATTGTTGGGTGCGAAATTACTTTCATGTGGGATATCGAGAGCCAGTTCCAAGAGGGCGAACGAAGGCCGTGCTTCGATCGATCTGCGGCGCAAATAACACGAATGTGATGTCCATCTCAATCGATGGCCTGTTGTACTAGTGACGCCCCCCAGATATTCATCGAATTGAACCGATGCTCGACAGAGGTTCTCGCACTGTGTCTGTCAGTTTGGATTGCTGTGGAACACTTCCGTGACCTGTGACGAGGGCCGACTGGGCCCATCAGCAGGATTAACTGTTCTGCAGAGTGCTGGTAAAATTTCACATGCTTTATTTTGAAAGGCTTGTAATGTGGATATGTTCAATCTCAGATGTGAAAAGAAGCTAATCGCCGGATTCAGCAGTGGCTCAAGTGGGCTTCTCGAGACAGCAGATCGCCGTCTGGACCCCGAAATCGCTTTTCTACATCGCTGCGGCCGTAGTGCTTTTACACTATGGACCTGGAGATAATGTCCACCTGCTCTCCTCACTTGTTTTCCCCAACTATCCCAACGTTCCCCACCTGACATTGATGAACCAATTAAACCTCAGCAATGCCCAGAACCTAGAACTTCCTCCCGTCACAGTCCTCCTGTCGTCGATGTTCCTGCACTAGATGACAAGAAGGTGCCTCTTTTCGGCGATGTGTTCTCGCAGGCATTGTATATTGTCCGGCAGCCGGAACTAGCTAGCAACAAGGCGAAACACGTCGAGAACCCCAAATGATGGGCGCATGTTGTGCTGATTCTCTGTTGCGCGTCTCCCGTCCACCGACGACGGCTAATGATTGTGTTAGAACATGGACAATTGCATTCATTCTTTATATCCTCCTTTTGTCGTCTCGTTGTTTCTATGTTTTCATCAATAACAATCATTGACGCTTCGCATTCTAATTGGTCTTTGAATCGATAGGTCGATTTGCACACCAGTTGGCGAGGACCGTCTATTCAGTACGTTTCATGCATTTTCTTCATACATCCTTCGAGCGCTAGACTCAGTCATACATGGATGCTTTTCTGACAAATGCGAGACGGTCTATTTGCCCATTCGCTGATTCCATATCCAAACACCCCGCAAGGCAGATTTGACTTCTTCACGGCAGGCACCTCAAATTGCCATTCTAAGGTGCACAGGTGCGATTGCCACTCTAAGGCGCACAGGTGAGTTATGCGGTTGATCCTGGTAGCTGCTCATACTCACGACACCGTTACAAACATAGTCCACACAGCAATCTTCTGTTCTCGAGCAGGAATGTCCCAATTCGGTACATGCACCGACGGACATAGATGCTGTCAAAGTAACAATAACGACAAGGAAGGAGAGACGCATTTTCTGTGCGAGATGATTTATAGGGAGGATCTTCAAGTTGAATGATATCTCTGAGGATGAGGGAACACTGGGACGACGACCAGCTTTTATATTCTGCGTACACTTTTGCTCACGATTCTGATAGATTTGGCAGAATTGTTAATACTGTTAGATGGCAGACATTTTGGCAGAACCTGCAGGAGCGTGTGTATTCAGAACGCTTCCAATCACTGGTCTCAGGAGTCCAGATCTTACCCATCGCTTCATCATTCAAACCTCAGATAGTGTGGTTGGCAAAACTGCTCAGTTTTGCCGGCAGCTCTCCCGGCTCCGACGACCCGCTACAGTCAAATGCCGAACTGTGTCTCAAATTCTCCAATTATAATAGGCCTTTCCTCCATCGCCCTTTTGCCTAGTTGGACTCCCGCCATCACGTCATATGCACGTGAATTGGAATATAACTTCAAGGCACCCCAGTCGAATCTATTCAGTTGCGAGCTGAATGGCTCGACTTGCACCTTGGAATGATCCAAAATGCAGATCGTATGCGCGTTGATTTGATGAACCTGTAAATTTCAATAACTGTCTTTGTGAGCTTCCAGTTGAATGCATGTAGTGTTGCTCTGATCATCACCAACGTCTCAAAATGCCCACCTAGATTTCATTGTGTTATGAAAAACATGCAGATCTTGCATGAATGTCGCGAGATCACCATTATGGTAAACGCCTCGAACCATTGCAATTGGGTTTCCGGGGAAGTGTTTGAGGGGCAACGTGAAAATGCTGCGCGACTGCTGCGACTGCTACGGGCTGCAGAGCACATTTGCTATTTTACTTGTTGGTAGACGTCACGGCATAGCCTCTAGTTCGGCCGGCGTTTGATCAGACTTCAATCCGACTACATTGCCTGCAAGGAAACCGCATCATCATTACTATCAATATCTGTATGATAACAACATAGTAAGTAACAAGCAAGTAACACGTAAAACAGCCAAAAAAAATAACAAACGAAAAAAGATAATGACAGTATGCAGGTAAAAGTAGATCCACACCAGCTAAAGCAACGCGAGAAGTGCAGCACAATAACAAAGTAGATACAACACACAACAGCGTTGGAAGGAATATGAAATAAAATAAAAGTCATAAGATCAAACGCCTCCTGGACGCATCTAAAACCCCGTAAACGATCGTAACGCACCAAACACTCTCCCCGCTAACCCCGCCCCCTGAGGTCCAGCACTAGGACCAGCAGGCGGGGGATCAATCTCGTACCCACCTTCTAACACCTCCATCATCCTATCCAGACCCATCTCACTCGCTTTCTTGTCCCCCCAAAACTGCACGAGAAACCGATGTCCAGCAGAAGACACCCGGTACTCTAGGACTTTACATAAAACGAGTTTCCCGAGGGTACTGCTTGGATCAGGGACTATGAGGAGGAAGGCTTTATCGAGGAGCTGTAGTGGATTCGCGGTGAAATCATGAAGGCGATCGGTGGTGAGTTGTCTGTGGGGATGACGGGCGAGGGCGGGGGCGATGGGTTCTAGAGATGAGGGGATGTCGCTTTCTTTTGAGAGATCTGGAGCGGGGTCCGTCATCGTACAGGCGTCGCAGAAATCTCGGGCTTTGGTGAGTGGGAAGACAGCAGGAGGCATAGCAGCTTTGAAGTCGAAGCTGGGGTGGCTATCGTGCTCGAACTGTGGATAGGTGGTGCTTGCGCCGTCGCTGCTCCCGGTATTGGGATCAGTTTTGGTAAGAATTTCGTGAAAGGTCGTGGAGTAGTAAGATCCCATTGGTGGATTCGTATCGGGGAGGCATAACAAGAAATCGCCAGGACTTGGGGCTGGGTCAACGGGTGGAGGGAGAGATGGTTCGATGCTAGAAGCGAGAAGCGGACCTGGCTCGACACTTGACATGGAGTTATTATCTTTAGCTGCTTGGTTGCGCATCGCCAGTTTCCTTCGAGCACTACCAAGATGATTGAATTGATGATAACGCAGCAATTATGTTCGGCTCACCGAGAATTACGGGCATTAATCCGCTTCCTCTCTTTCATTCTCTCAGCTTCTAGTTCGTCACTGATTGGAATCAATAAGTTAACCCGTTAGATTGAAGCAGGGAGCACATACATCTCGCCATTTTTTATTCTTTCCTTCAGCCGCTGCCTGTATTTTTTATTTGCCTCACGATGCCTGTCTGATGTTTTTGGAGCTGTCTGGAAACAAGTTGACGAATGAATAAGCCAGAATGACTGAAGGAAACATACCGAGTTATTGCGACTGTTAACCATCGCTGAAATGCCTTCCGTATCCACTTCCATTGCATCGACTGCATAATCAGACTCGAAGTCTACACCAGAAGTTGGGGAAGGTAAGGCTCCTGCTGAGGATGGAGTAGGATATTGAGCCTGAGTTGCTTGTCGGCTAGTAATCTGCGATTCGGAAGCCATGGCTAGCGTGCGCTGAACAGGACGTAGAGTATTTGATGTGGAGTGTGAAGTGTGCGATGATGGGGGAGGTGTAGGACAGCGCGGAGAAGTGGAAACCGAGGTATTTGCTAATGGCGGGGGTAGGGCTGATAGAGCTGTTGCACTGGCATTATGTGTCACAGATGTGGGGAGTTGCATGGTCGATGAGGCACGCGCTGCAGCTGCAGGGTCATCGACATGATTTGGAGGTGGTGGGGGTGGCGGGAAAGTATAAATAGGTGGGGCAGGTAGGCAAGCAGATGATACAAGTGGAGGTTTTGGTGCGGTTATAGCCGGTGACAGCGCCGACGGAGGAGGCCGCGGAGAGGTTGTAGATGTAGGTTGTGATACAGTTGATGACGTCGGAGGTGGTGTACTTACGCGTGGAGCAGGCGCAGGTATGGGGGTGCGTATGGATGAGGTGGGAATAGGAGCACCAGTACCAATATTGATACCAACAGCAGGTGCAGAAGCGGTAAGAGACGATGTAGATGTGTTCTTTGCGATAGATAATGTTGTCGCATGTCCTACAAGCGATGCTCTTGGCAAGCGGATTGTCAGAGGTGTACGAACGCGAGGTTGAGTACTCTTAATCGGTTCTGCTGATGCCGCTGCGGGTCCCCTGGAGCGCTTATACGGTGTAGCCCGAGTTGGCGAAGAACTAGTTACCGGTGCAGGAGATGAAGAAGGAAGGTCATGGGTACTAGGAGCGGACGCTGTAGTTTTTGCGCGTGTCCGAGTCTGCGGCATGCCTGTGATATTAGCTATAGAATTTGAGCTTGAAGAAGCCTTCGAAGCCCGATTTTCGAGCAATGATAAAAGAGGAGGCAACAATATTTGGCTCGTTATAATCCCTGCAAGTCAGAGTCAGCTTAATTCAAGGAGTTTGGGAACAACCAAGTACCGTGTCCGGTCCCGCCTAGCAAGTTGAAAAAGAAAAAGAGCGTGAACACTTCCATTGAGCTCCTTCCATCTTTGGTGTTCATCTGGCTTATCACAAATCTAAATGTCGTGAGTTCATCGATGTTATGGTTCAATTCTAATACCCAAGCAGATACCTAGGATCATCGGACGTTCGAGACTCTGGCAGCGACCGCACAAGAAACTTGGTCTTCGACCTCCATTCAATTGTATAAGTTCTACAAACTTCAAGAGATGCGGTCGCGAGGATTGGTTAACTTTGAAAGAGCCACAACTTCGAGGGAAATACGAATAACCATTCTCTTCAAATGTTGCCTAGAAATTTCCAACAAGTCTCATTCTAGTCCTTTTCTCTTCCACCCGATGGGACACCACGCCTTGTATTTGTCTCGGATCGTTCGCCTCGTGAGTGTATCGAATGATCAGACAGTACGTCATATGGACCATTTCTTGATATCCTAAAGCAGTGCAATCCCAACTTCCCGTTCTGTCATGCGTGCTCTCAGCCAGCCGCGATGAGCAATATTCAAACTAAGCTCTTCGGCCTTTCGTCGTTCTCATATTAAACCGGCCAAGCATCTTCTCTCCTCTCAGTCCTCTTACTGTTGAAGTTCCAACAGTAGTACAGGCCAGAAAGGTTCGACTTTCGTCGCGTACGTTTGAAATAGGCATGGTTCAATATATTCTCTGCAACCGTTGGCTGTTGCTTCGCGGCCAGGAAAATAAACACAGCAGACTTGTCAGCAGCAGCGCAGTCAACTGCAAGCCTAAACGTCATCATCGTTACCTCAGCATGTCGCTCCTCTGACGTCCACAACACCCGCTCCAGGTACTAACATCACCGCACCAGGTGCAGAGACCGCACAGTCCCAACCCATCCCAGTGCAAACTCGTCTTGTGCTGTTACATTGTTGTGCCTCCTTTGCACGCCAATGGCCAGTGATATTGCACTTGTTGACAACTATCCCATCCTCGTTTTGAGTTCTTTTGCCCTTTTATTTCTTTCTCTGCACGAAGTTCAAGTTTCGCTACTTCGTGAATCGTGTTTTCTCGTCGTGAGGTTCGTGAAGTGCATTCGCACCTTTTTATTTGCGAGCTAGTATTATTGTTTATTTCGTGTGTTATTCTTATTCACAGCGCTCCGTAAATGCCCTCACTTGCAAGACCTACTAATATCCATTGACACGATATCGAACTTCCAACTCCACGTTTTTGAGGGTGGGTACGTTCGAGTCATATAGCTGGGTACATCATGTGAATATGGATATGGTACCCCAAATCAATCATGGCACATACAGACGAGTATAACTGAATATATGGTGCATAGCATACGCGTTCACTTCTTTCGTTTAGGTTTGAGCTTCAATCCATGGACTTCAGCGTTGGACCGGGGACAGACTACAAAGGGAATCCAAGGTCAAACCTCTATAACGGGAGGCTACGGTTGTATCTATCAACAACACGGCGTGGGACTACTGCTCCGCACTTCAAACAACCTGTGCCAGACCACCCTGGTACAGCGTCCCATGAACTGCACATTGCAAGGAAATCCAAACGAGTTCTTGTATACATGTCATAATCCGGATCAGATGAAATCCTCGAGTCCTGGGGTCACATGAGAACGTAGTGTAATATTGCAAGGGAAGTTCATCAAGGAGCTAAAGCGATACGAATGTTAATGTCGGGAGAACGAGATGATGAAACAAAGTACCGAACGAGTCCCGGGTTGAATTGAGGGGTGAAATCGATCACTTTGCCATTGTCATCCTTGGCAAAGGAAAAGTCCACCGTGGCTAACATGGTCGCTATTGCAGACCACACAGAGGCATCACCGGCATACCGTCCTAAGTAAAAAAAGCATTGGCTCATCGCATGCTATGTGGCGGTGAAGTGGATCAACTCACCTGGACATGCGCGCCGGCCTAAGCCAAAAACGTATCCCGCTGGGTCATCATCAGTTAACGCGCCGTTAACATCTAGGAATCTCTCCGGGATAAAATGAGATGCATTCGGATACCGTTTTTCGTCCCGTGAAATAGCCCTATGATGTGACATTAGTATCTCGAAACCTGTGGAGAATTTAGCTCACCAGATGTTACACATGACAGTCGTTCCTGATGTGCGATGTTACAAATGATTTGATCAGTGGATAAGAATAGCAGACCTTTCGGAATGAAATAACCATTGTATGTATCATCGCTCGAGGTGGCATGTGGAACACCTATATTATCATTTTTAGCACAGGCGAAATAAATACAGCAAGTAACATTACCAAGGGGTAGAATGGGGTGCCATCGAAAAGTCTCCCGTAGAATCGATTCAACATAGGGTAGTGATGTTCTGTCCTCAAACACAGGCAATCGATCTCTTCCGATCACCGAGTCTATTTCTGCTTGTGCGCGTCTCTGAACCTCTGGATGCAATACCATAGCGAGAACAAAAACCATTAAGGTCGACGTGGTCTGTGAGGAGTTTAAGCAACACATGATATGATTCGTGACATCTGCTGACCGTTTCATATGACTGCATAACACCAGCTGCAGCTGCTCTCTTCAAGGCAACCTCGAACATTGGCTTATATGCCTCGTCTTGCTTCTCCATCTGTTGCAAACTTTCTGTAACCATCGAAGACTGGCCGAGGAACGAGCTTCCAGCCTTTGCAGACATGTACTCAACATGTAGCTCCGAACTTTATCAAAAGCGAGCCCACCGTATGCTGCTCCATAGATTGAAACGGCAAGTCCCTCATTTTTTCCATACAACTGGTCGAAATTTGAGCAGCGCGTTTGATGGAGGATCCCCAGCACCAATCAGGTAACTTCAGTACTGCACGAGGTTGCGTCGTCAAGTCTTTTTCATCAGCGAGAGTGAACTCACAGAAGGGGAAGAGTTGAAGCAAGATTGTCCTCTCTGGGGTCGTCATCTCAAGTCCAACAGCTACTGTATCTTCCAAGATTCGAACCAGAGGATCATCGCGAGTGCTGGGTTGGTAGTCATATATGACAGACATCCCAACTGATGACGAGAACCTGTGGATAAATTGGTAATTGCGTGATAAATTCAAACAAATTGACTGACGTTGCGAAGTGAGAATGATAGTGTTTAGGGTCATCGATTAGGTTGACAATCATTTCACGAGCCCGGCTGATCTGCATCGGGCGAACCTTGAGTGCAGAGTTAGCACGGAAAGCTTGGTGGAAGAGTCTCCGAGAAAGACGCCATTCGTCACCATAACCTGTAAATGCAAAGGTGATCGCGGACCAACCAAATCTGACTGCACCTCAGACTAGGTGAACGAGGTAGATATTATAACGCACTGTTCGGCTGTGGCTATGTATGGTCGATCAGAGTAAATCTCGGACCGCTTATCCAACAAAGCTTCTGCGATGTGCTGGGAATTGATTGATACGACTTCCTGGCCCAGAAGCCGCACGAAAATCAAGTCACCTGATATTATGATTTACACCACAATGATTGGACCATACCATCTCCCCACGTACCATAGGCAGCACCCAATTCGGTATACGACAGCCAAGGTTCCTTGCTGTCGATAGATAAGACGTTTCCTACCAGTGGGAGGGGTACCGGGCCAGGAGGAAAGCAAAGTTTGTTCCGTCGGTTCTTTGTGAACCGCCTGAGGGCTATGAAGACAACAAGGGAAAGAGGTAAGACAGCAAGGATACTAGGGCGACCATCGACTGAAGGATACATGTTTAGAGCAGTACGCAAATCTTATTATATCCAACGCACGAAATAGGCCTTATAAAGTATCATCCTTATGGAACCCACGTCAGCGCTCATAGTTGCCCGGACAGCGAGTTCAATTTTACTAGTAAATTTTTGAGCACTGCATATCAAATCCGCGCTGAATTTTCGATCGCATGTGAAATTGGCACTCACAGCAACACGAGTCCTGTTTCATTTAATCAGTATTATCATGAAACATGCTGTCCCATTGATGACATGTTTAGGTCCTAAACTTTAGGACTTTTGTCAGTGCGACAAATGTCAGTTGTACTGGCACTTGGCGGTTTTGCCCCCCTGGGGCTGTGGCACACTAGAATCTGTTTCACTTGCAATTTTGTAAGGAGTGCTGGCCACTCTGCTGATCGAAGCGTGAAACTGACCGGATGATCGACGTATACTAAGTAAATGATGGATTTATCCGATGGCTGACTACACTACAAATAGGAACTCAGGCACGATCATTGAATAGTTAGTTACATAATATATGTCGGAAAATTGTAATTTTGGTTGAATATATTAAAAGGGCGTGTAAGGCCTCAATTTACCAGCGGTATTGCGGTTGCAAGACAACATGAAAGCTGCTTGGAAGACTCAGGGGTGGTCTTCTAGCATTTAGAAAATGTACACACACGAGAGTCGATTTTGGTCAAGATAATGTCGGAAATTCCTAATTTAGATTTCAACGCCTTGCAACGCGTTTCAATGCCCAAATGCAGAGCGTGTCTTTAAATAGGTTTCTACAGTGATCCCACGGTCCTTTGTACACAACCACTCTACTGTACAATTAAATTTCCTCGATGAGTTCTTCATCAAGTCCTTGCAAAAACTATATCATAATATTCAGAATATGTTCTG